CCTTCCTCCTTACACATTTTTGTATCGTCTATTTTTTTAACAACAACAAAAAAAACTGTTAAAAGAAATTCCTTCACAAACATACACACACACAGACCTAAACCCCACTGACACCATCACCACCAAAACTGCCCACCTGAAGGGCCAAGCTGTCAACAGCCTTCAGTGATCCCTGAGACCTGAAGCAAGTCACTGTCCCCTAGGGACTTAAGTCCTCCAGGCTTTGAAACAATGCATCAGGCCAACTAGGCAAGCCCCTCCTGAGAGGAAAACGCCAAGAAACCAGGGGCATGGTGAAAGGGAAAGACAAACCAGCACACACTGCACAGCATCACGCCGAAGCTCCTGACTGTAGGGTGTATAGTCAGGCAGGATCTCTCCCTTGCTCTGCAAAGACTCTCAAGGAATGTACATCCATCTCCACTTGACAGATGAGCTGAGGCCCGCAGAGGCTGAGCAGTGTCTCTCAAACCCCAAGTTCCAGTCTCACACCCTCCCCACATAGTACATCAACAGCAGTGGTTTAAACAGCATCTATTCACTGGTGTAATAACTACCTGTGGAAGCCAATGCGTCAGGCACTACGTTAGGCACTGGGGGCACTGTGTGAATAAGTCCCAGGTAGGCACTCTGCAAGAATGGTAGGCTTGCAAGCACTCAAACCCCACCTTACGCCTCTAACCTCTCCATAAAGGCAGGGGCTGCAGAAAATCCGGACACTGATGGATCATCTACTATGTGCGAAACCCTAGCTTCTGTAATACCCAAGAGTCATCTGAGTTAGGTCCCATTATTATTCCCTTTTGACAGACCAGGCACAAAGGGGTTCAGTAACTGGCAGCAAGCTACACGTGCAGTTGGTGGCAAACGTGGATTCACAACGTGGCTATTCCCGGCCCTAAAGCCCCGCGCTCTCAACCACTATGCCTAAGGGCCTCCTCCTTGGAGACCGAGCTCCCCAAGACTCAAAGAAGACAAGCGCTCGTCCCCAACATGCAGCAAGCCTGCACAACCCAGTCCGGTGGGGGGACCAGACAACCATCCCGGCTGGAACCCCCTCTGTGGGTTCCCGGCACCGACTTTTCCATTTTAAAATCCGGAGGAACTAACTCCAGGACTATTCCATCATTCTAACTTCAGGACTCCTTCCATTTCCCCCAGAGCACGAATGAAACTTGAATGCATTTCTTTCTTCCATGAGTTTAAGCCAAAGGAAAGACTCTCTAACGGTGGAAACGCAGGCAACTGCCACAGTGTGCCCACCCCACCCCACCCCACCCCTCGCCCCACAGCCTGAACTCCAGCCTCCCAGGTCGGACCTCTGGCCACCGCCCCTTACCTCTCAGCCAGCGCCCGCCAACGGTTTCAACCCGCCGCGAGAGGAGCACGTGGAACCGCTGCTTCCCTCAAGGCTCTATAACCTACACCTCCCTCCAGGGCTTCCGCGCGCAGAATTCGCTTCGGAGGCGCCCGGCGCGTTTGCGCACCACGGCCACACCTCCCGGCGGAAGTGACGCAAATGGAAGTCAGAGGGCGGAGCCCGCTGGGTCCAATGCTGTGGAAGGGGCGGTGTTGTCCCGATGGTTCCGCTGCCGGCTGAGCCCGACCCGGAGCGCTGAGGGCGGCGGTGGCGGCTGCAGGTGAAAAAGAGGCGACGGGGCGGGGAGCGGTCTCTGAGGGTAAGGTGGGGGTTGCCGGACTGGGAGGCCGGCCTCGCGAGAGCGTGCGGGTCTGAGGGCGATGGAAACGGCCCGGAACCCCGGGCTGGGCGCCCGAAGGGCCGGGCCGGGCAGGGCAGGGCAGGGACCGGCCGCCGCCCCGCGCATCCCTCTGGCGCCGTGAGGGGCCGTGAAGCTGCTGCTGGGTCGGGCGTGTCCGCCCGCGGCCGTGAGGTTCTCCGGCTCGGAGACGCGACGACCAGGCCGGGCTCTGGAGCGCGTCCTTCACGGCGTGTGCAGCTCCCTCGGCCTGGACGCCGCGCCCGCTTTCCCCTCCCGCCTCCCAGGGCACCGCCCGCGGTAAGCCGCGGGTGCCCTCTCCTCGGCCCGGCTCGCTCCATCGCCGTGTAAAGTTGAGAGAGTTAGCGCTGAAGACCCCAGAGCTTCTATAGCCCAGCCCAGTCCCGTGGCCGTGCGACCTCTTCGTGCCTCGGATCCGCGTCTGTAAACGCGTGTTACACTGCCGTGCTTAACTCGATAAGATTATTGTAGGATATCCTGCAAAGCACTCAGTAGGGTGCTTACTGCTCTTCTCAACCCTTAAGGGGCTTCCCTGGTAGCTCAGTTGGTCGAGAATCCGCCTGCAATGCAGGAGACCCCGGTTCAATTCCTGGGATCGGGAAGATCCGCTGGAGAAGGCATAGGCTACCCACTCCAGTATTCTTGGGCTTCCCTGGTGACTGACTCAGGGAAGAATCCCCCTGCAATGAGGGTAGACCTGGGTTCGATCCCTGGGTTGGGAAGATCCCCTGGAGAAGGGAAAGGCTGTCCACTCCAGTATTCTGGCCTGGGAAATTCCATGGACTGTATAGTCCATGGGGTCGTCAAGAGTCAGAGGCGACTGAGCAACTTTCACTTTCACTTTGGGGCTCCCCTGGTGGCTCAGATGATGAAGAGTCTGCCCACAATACTAAGGAGTCTGCCTGAAATGTGGGAGCCCTGACTTCAGCTTCTATAGCTCAGTTGGTAAAGAATCCACCTGCAGTGCAGAAGACCCCGCTTGGGAAGATCCGCTGGAAAAGAGATAGGCTACCCACTCCAATGTTCTTGGGCTTCCCTGGTGGCCTTTGCCCTAGGAGCTGTCTGCTACAGGATAAAATTCCATTCTGGTTTTTATTCTCAGTAGAAGCACCTCTTCGTTCGCATGTATCTAAGCTTTTTCTTATTTCCCTTTTTCTCTTTTCCCATGTTTCCCTTCCTTTTGATGCCGTTCAGTCCACCATCACATTCTTGATGTAGATTTGTGGCATTTAGAACAGGAAGATACCTTAGAGATTATCTAACCCAATAGGGGACCCTCTGTTTTTACAGATTAAAACACTGAGGCCCAGAGTCTCCATCCAGCTCAAAACCATGTATTGAGCACCTACTATGTCCAAGGCACTCTTCTGGGTACCAAAGATATGCTAATTGATAAGACAGTAGGTTTTTGTTACTTGTCAGAAAGTGAGTGCGCCGCAAAGACAGAGCGTACCATGCTCCTTGTATCGTAGCGCAAAGCCTGTGCTGCACATGGTCGTCCTCCTGTGTGCTGCGCTTTACTCTGGTGCTTATCTGTGGGGTCACCTGGACAGCCAGGCGTTGGTAATAGACTGAAGAGGGTGCTGATTGGATTCCAAGGAAGCCCTTTGAGCTATTGCATGTAACTTGGAGTAGCAGTTAAGCATGTGGGCTTTGGAGTCAGATTCCCTGGGTTTAAATCCCAACTCTGTCCCTTGTTGGTAACCTATTATTATTAGCCATGTCGGCCCTTTCTAACTCTGGCCAGGTTATCTATTTTCTGTGTGACAAACTACCCTAACACTTGGTACCTTAAAAACCCTTTTGTTTTATCTCACAGTTTTGTGAGTCAGAAATTCAGGCAGAGCTCTGCCGGGTGGTTCTTCAGCCCTACAGTGGTGTGGGTGGGGAATGGGGTTCAGCTGGCGGTGGGGCCAGCCTGGAGCCTTCAGCATGACTTTGCTCCCATGTCTGGTCCCTGGGAAGGGATGACAGGAAGGCTGGGTTCAACAGGGCCCTTCTCCTGCCCCATATACTGGCTCCAGCTGGGCGCCTTACAGGCCTATTGGCAACACAGGCCTCCCAGAGGCATCGTCCAGAAGATGGAAGGTGGGAACTATCAGCTCAAAGGCCTCGGCCCGGAAAAGATCACAGCTTTACACCCTTCCTTTCACCTGTTCTGTTGATTGAGATAGAGGCTGCTCTGAGTCAAGGAGAGGAGACCTAGATCCCACCTCTCCTCGGGTCATAGATGTTGTGGCCATCTTTAATCTGCCGTGTGCTTCATTGTCCTCATCTGTCTGTACAGTGAAGCTAATGGTATGTATCTCACAGCTATTCTGAGAACCGAATGAGTTCATATGTGTAGAGGGCTTACACTATTCTACATATGTGTAGAATAGTGCCTGGTGTAAAGGAAACATTGGATAAATATCATGATTATCCTTATGAGGTATATGATATATTATGATTCGTGGTGGTCATTTGTAAGACACATAAAAAATGTAAGATGCATATTCTCTTTCTGGAGCTTTTTATAATCATACTTGAGAAGGTACAGGATGGATATCATGAAGCGGTTAGAGAACTATGCTAAGTAACATACAATAGTTACAGTTTTTATAGTCAAATTGTGGAATAACTTTGCATGTCACTTCTGTATAATCAGAGAATGTGTGATACAGATTCAGGATATTTGCTGTATTTTAACACTTAAGTCTTTGGAGGAAGCTTCTATGTTGTGTTTTTCCTGTCCCTTTTCTCATGGGCATAGGAGCATGGACTTCGGGGTTTAGGAACCAGGGTTTAAGTCCTGGCTTTGGAATATAACAGTTTTCTGATCATGGCCATGTTACTTTAACGCCTCACTCCTTAATTTCCTCGCTTGTAAAATGGTGATCAAAGCGTTCTTGTAGCATTATTTCAAGTTAATGGCTGGAATATTCCTAGCACAGTGCCCGGTCTGTAGTAAGTAGTCAGTAAATGATAGCTAATAATAATGATAAACCAAGAAGGCTTTTCTTTTCAGGCAACCAGTGGGACAGGGTAGGTAACCAATCACTCGGTCTTTTGGGCGTTCAGCGCCCTTGAGGATTCGGCACTGGGGACCGCACCGCGCCATCTGACATAGTGCTCGCCCTTCTGCATCCGTGTTGCACAGGACGTCATGACAGTGAAGCACAGATCAGTCGGTCGGTTTGGGTGCCCTTTAGCGTCCAGTCGCGGCATCAAGGATCACTGCTTATCGACGCCCTTTGTCCTAGGTCTCCTGGATGGTGGAGCATGGACCCAGTTGCTGCCCACAGCTGCCACCTTCTCCAGCAGCTGCACGAGCAGCGGATTCAAGGCCTGCTCTGCGACTGTATGTTGGTGGTGAAAGGAGTCTGCTTTAAAGCCCATAAGAACGTTCTAGCAGCTTTCAGCCAGTACTTTAGGTACGTGTTTTAGACTGTTCTAATTGTACAGAGAGAAAGCTTTTCTGGAATGGAGATCTTTTGTCTAAATTTTATTTTCTCCTCAGATTTCATTCTCCTTATCTTTTGTAGCACACTGTGGGCTTTTTTTGCTTTTGTGTTTAGAGTAACCTGAGCGGGAAGATCCCCTGGAGGAGGAAGTGGCAACCCACTCGAGTATTTTTGCTTGGAGACTCCCATGGACAGAGGAGCCTGGAGGGCTGCAGTCTGTGGGGTCATAAAGAGTCGGACACGACTGAAGTGACTGAGCACATGCACACACGAGCGGGAAAGAGTCTTTTTAACTAAAATATATTTAGGGCCATGAAAGTAATTTGGCACTTTGTCTTTGATTTTTGAGTTGTAATTAATATCAGACTTCTGTATACATTTCTTATGCTTTCCAGGGGAAAAGATTGAGGAATAGAGTTTCTGGTAAGAACATTTCTGTGATAAGAAATCTGAGAGGGGAAAACATCCTATATGCCATTTTTTTAAATTAAAACATTTTCATTTTTGTTTCATATTTTACTATTCTAAGAAAAGAGGTTTGAACTCAATTTACTTATTTCTATAATGGTTTTTGCTTCAATGAAAGATTTACTTATAAACAATAATAGCAATAGTATTTCATTTAAGTATTCTACACACATTTTCTGGTTAACTGGATTTATCTGTCCTGAAGCACTTTTTCAGGACTTCTCTATGGCTCAAAAGGTAAGGAATCTCCCTGTGATCCAGGAGACCAGGATTCGATCCCTGGGTTGGGAAGATCTTCTGGAGAAGGGAATGGCAACCCACTCCAGTATTCTTTCCTGGAGAATCCCAAGGACAAAGAGGCCTGGCGGGCTACAGTCTATGGGGTCGCAAAGAGTCGGACACGACTGAGCAGCTAACACACACACACAAGCACTTTTTCAGAACCTTTCCCCCTAAAATGCATACTACTTTACTACTCTAGTAAATGATACATGGAACAGGATTTACTCTTTCCTTGATAATCCCGAATCATCAAATTAAGTCTCAGCTGTCATGTGTGCTGCAAGTCATATTATAGTGGGTTGACTCCCAGAGGTGGCAGGACTTTCTGCCCATGTGTAAAATGGTCCCCTACTGGGGCTTTGCCTCTTCTGTCTTTCCAGGACAGTTAGGTCTAGATGTTGTGATACATTGGCTAGTTTACTTGATAAAATGTCTTTAACAAACTTGCAGGGCAACTTACATGACTCAGTATTTTTACAAATACTGAGACAAATTCATTCACTGTGAACTTAACTTATACCCAGAATAAAGTGCCTGGGCTTTATGGTGCCTTTTCTCCGCATTAACTTACAGGGCTCTCTCACTGCTGGGTTATGGACCGTTGGGTTGCTGAGAAGCATCAAGTACCTAGATCAGTCAGACTGACAGAGACGGAAAGTGGAAGGGCGGTTGCCAGGGGCTGAGGGGTTGGGGACAATAGGGGTTATTGTTCAATGGATAGAGTTGCTGTTTGGGATGATGAAAAGGTTCTGGAAATGGGTAGTGGTGGTGGTTACACAACAATGCGAATGTACAAAGTGCCACTGAATTTACCATATGAACCATATAGCCAGGTGTTTGACATTATGTGTGTTAGGCCATGATTAACAAATTTAAAAAAATTGTTTTAAAGAGTCTGTATCTAGAGTTGGTTTATTATAGCTATTTTCATTTTTGGATGTTTTTAAGACACTTAGATACAGAAGTATTTTTGTATGTGTTTATGGTTTGAGATAGATAATTTGTCAGACTAAACATGAAATATTGAAATGTATGTTCTTTAGTTTTCTGTAATCTATCTGTATGAAATGAATAATGCATAGTTATAATTACATTTTGAAAAAAAAGAATAATGAGTATGTTTTAAAATCCTTGAGATTTCCTTGGAAGTTTGGATATTCAGCATACAAATTCGATTCATCCAAATTGCTCTATTGAATAGCTTGCAAAAAGTTCTTAAAGGATTGAAAGTCATACTTTTTTTTTTTGCTTTTAAAAAGGACATGTTTTATTTTGAGTGATTAGAAAAATACTGAAAAACATTGAGAATCAGTAATATCACAGACACACCTGGATCTTGACTCAGAATTGACAGACTTAACATTTTTTTATTGTGGTAAGAACACCTAACATATCTGCACACCTAACACATTTTTAAGTGTGCGGTATACAGTGTTGTTAACTATAAACACTATGTTGTGTAGCAGATCTCTAGAGCTTATTGATGTCGCATAACAACTGTTACCATTTTTTCCTATTTATTTATTTTAATCAGAGGATAATTACTTCACAGTATTGTGATGGCCTCTGCCATACATCAACATAAATGGTCCATAGGCTTGCGTGTGTCCCCTCCCTCCTAAACCCCATCTCCCTCCTTCCTCCCCACCTCATCCCTCTAGATTGTTACAGAGCACCGACTTTGTATTCCCTGCATCACACATCAAACTCCCACTGGCTGTCTATTTTTCCATATGGTAGTATATATGTCTCAGTGCTGTTCTCTCAGATCGTCCCGCCCTCTCCTCCTCCCACTGTGTCCCCAAGGCTGTTCTTTATGTCTGTGTCTCCTTTGCTGCCCTGCACGTACCGCTGATGATACTGTCTTTCTAGATTCTGTATATTTGCTTTAATACAGAATATTTGTCTTTCTCCTTCTGACTTACTTCATTCTCTGTAATAGGCTCTAGGTTCATCCACCTCATTAGAACTGAATCAAATGCATTCCTTTTTATAGCTGAGTAATATTCTACTGTGTATATGTACCACAACTTCTTTATCCATTCATCTGCCTATGTACATCTCGGTTGCTTCCATGTCCTGTGCCGTGCTAACTTGCTTTAGTTGTGTCTGACTCAGTGTGACCCTATGGACTATAGCCTGCCAGGCTCCTCTGTCCATGGGATTCTCCAGGCAAGAATACTGGAGTGAGTTGCCATTTCCTCCTCCAGGGGATCTTCCCAACCCAGGGATCGAACCTGTGTCTCCCGTATTCTAGGCAGGTTCTTTACCACTAGCACCACCTGGGAAGCCCCGCTTCCATGTCCGAGCTATTGTAAATAGAAGTGTGAAAGTGTTAGTCACTCAGTTATGTCTGACTCTGTAACCCCACGGACTGTTCACCCGCCAGGCTCCTCTGGCTGTGGAATTCTCCAAAGCATACTTAATTTTTAATCTTAGCATTTATTGAAGGATAGTCATTTTGAACATTAGCATGGATATCACTTAAAAGAAAAAGCTATCAGAATGTATGGATTGTTAACCCTGTAAGCAGATATCCTTTCTTTTATCAGGAGCCTTTTTCAGAACTCTTCAGGCCAGAAGAATGATGTTTTTCATTTGGATATTAAGAATGTGAGCGGCATCGGGCAGATCCTGGACTTCATGTACACGTCACATCTGGATCTTAACCAGGACAACATCCAAGTCATGCTGGACACAGCCCAGTGTTTGCAGGTTCAGAACGTCCTCAATCTGTGTCACACCTTTTTGAAGTCAGCCACCGTCGACCAGCCTCCAGGCCTGCCCTGTCACGGCACCTTCTCCCTGCAGAGCACCCTGACTCCCGACACGAACTGTGTCCTCAATGAAAACTACCCGCCTCACTTGCTGCCCGAGTGCTCCACGGGCGTCCAGCAGGGCAGGGCCGTGGACGAGTTACACTCTCACACTCCAGCCTCAGTTGGTCTTCATCCCCCCACGGCCGAAACCTCCAAACAAGCCCCTGACCCGTTCGATGGCAGCTGCACAGAACTGCCTTTCAAACAGCCCAACTGTTACTACAAGCTCAGAAACTTGTACAGTAAGCAGTACTATAAACACGCTGGCTGTCCCAGTCATGAGCGCGTGACCGAGCAGCCTTTCACTTTCAGCACCTCTGCGGACCTTCACGCCGCGGATCGCCAGCCCTGTGCGGTCAGCCACACTGAGTGTGTCCTGGAGTCCTCCCAGCACCTGCCTTCCAACTTCCTGGCCCAGCCTTTGGGTGAAAATGCCCCAGACACCATGTCCGACCACGCCGGCCAGCAGCCTACCCGGCAGATGAGGCTCAAGAAGGCCGTCCACCTTAAGAAGCTCAACTTCCTAAAGTCACAGAAATCTGCAGAGCAAACCTCTGAACCGAAACCTGATGATAGTTTAACCAAGAGGCTGGAAGCTGCCAGGGAACACACTGTGGAGAAAGTGAACAGCCCCAGCGCTGAAGAAAAGGAAAGTGAGGAACTCAGCAGTTCTGAGAACTTTAATGGCGTGAGTGAGATGGAGAGGCCCGAAGACCCCGAGGCCCTGGAAGACCAGACCCAGATGCCACAGTCACAGAGACAGTACGCGTGTGAATTGTGTGGGAAACCTTTTAAACACCCCAGCAATTTGGAGCTGCACAGACGGTCTCATACAGGTACACTGATTTGGTCCCTGCAGGCAGAAGGAAAGGAAATAATACCAGACCGTCAGACACCACTGCCTGCTCCCGTTTTTGTAAGAAGTTTTGCTGTTGCTTGATGATGTCATTGATATTTACCCCCAAAATCAAAGACTGTTCGCTATCTTCTGTTTTGTGTTTTTGGCGATGTTGTTTAAAGAATAATCTTAAGTTAGTAAATGCTTTCATAGAGCCATTTTAAAAAAGATGGTGCACTTTTCATCTTTTAATTGTGGTTTTCTATCAGAAGCTTTCCATCTCAAAGTATGGCAGATTCTTTTGATTCACTCAGATTTTCAAATTAATTCTAAAACAGATAAGCAATATTTAGTTCTTTCTTCAGAATTACATTATTTTTTTTTTAAAGCATGATGTTGGTTAATTCAGACCAAAGTAGTTTAGTTTGAGTAATTCTGAAAGCTTTGGAAAGTAATTTGAATGTTAGATTTTTTTGTTTGTTTTTAATGTGTTTTTTAAAATTTATTTATTTTTAATTGGAGGAGAATTGCTTTACAATATTGGTTTCGTTTCTGCCATACATCAACATGACTTAGCCATAGGTGTACATGTTCCCTCCCTCTTTGAATGTTAGATTTTGAAAATTGTGATTTGGGAGGCAGGAGGTAAATTTGTGAATGAGGATCAGCTTTAACCATTTGGTATTTTCAAGTGAAAAATTCTTCCATCTGAACACTGAATTTTCAAAGTTCTATTACCTTAGCTCATACCTCTTCCCCTTTCCAAAATATTTATTTTTTCCAAAGCTTTAGAAAAAGTGTTATGCAATATTTATACAGTCTGTAATATAATATGTGTATATTACTTTCTTTCCTGCACTTAAGCCTGATGACCCTAGCACACATTACACATTATTGTCAGTTATCTTCAAGGCATGAGAAGGAGTATGTTCAGGAGGCTTCTAAAGTAACTGCTTTCAAGGTGCTTGTGTGATTGTGACTATTGGTGTGATGTCCTGTTATCACTCCTGATTCCCCATTGGCTTAGATGTTCACTCCCTTATTGCATTGTTGAGACTGAATTAATATTTATGAAAGCCTTCTATAAATTTTGTTGTATTTGAATATAAAATACTATCATTATTTTTACTAGTTGCTCAAAATTATTCCATACGAAGACAGTACCATTGACTAAATTTTGCCCTGAAAAAGCTTAATTTAGATCATTCTGTAATTTTCTGGAGCCTAAAGATCAGTATAATTTTTATTTGAGAAACTTACCAGTTTTAGCTTTAAAAGGAAACAAGGATTGTTTTTATTCTGCAAGAGCGTCTTTGGATAATAGCAGTCAGACCGCTCTGTGGCACAGTTGCTCCCTGGGACATAAATAGATTGAGAAGGGCAGCAGTTCTCAAAGTATGGCTTGGGGAACCCTTTCAGGGGGTCAGTGAGGCCAGCACTGTTTGCACCCTCATGTAGGATGCTCCTTGCCCTTCCCTCCTGCTTTCCCCTCAAGTGTACAGTGCTCAGGCCCTCACAGTCATGTCCAGTCGACTCTTTGTGGCCCCGTGGACTGTATCTCTCCAGGCTCCTCTGCCCCTGGAATTTTCCAGGCAAGAAGACTAGCGGGATGCTGTTTCCTCCTCCAGGGCAAGTGTACAGTGGAGTCGGCTCAAGGCTGCAGGATGTGTGATGAGGCCTTCACCTGGTGGCCAATGAAAAATGCCTAGTCGTTTTTTTCAAAAATCACTCTGTTTTGATTTCTGATACAGACTATACCATCAAATATGGCCCACATAAGGAAAAGCTCTTTAGGGTCCTCAACTGTTAAGAGTGTGAAGGGGTCCTGAGAGCAACAAGTGTGAGAACCACTGGTGTAGGGTTATTAACCCTGGTCACCTGAGACTCTTAGGACTAGTGACCTATTTTTTCAGACTCGTATCTCATAGTGGGGGCTTTAATGTAGCATCATCTATTATCTCTTTAACTTCAGACATAAATGTAGTTCAAAATGCAGCTTTCATGTGATTATAATTACAGTTGGCCCTTGAACAACACAGGGCTTAGGGGTGCTGAACATCTGAGCAGTCAGATCCTGGTGTAACTTACAGTTGGTCCTCCATGTACCAGTCCCTCCACACCTGCAGATTCAGCCAACCTCCATGATGTAGTTACTATTGAAAAAAATCCACAAAAGAGTGGACTTGCACAGCTAAAACCTTGTGGTTCATGGGTCACCTGTACTTGTGCTCAGGGGCTCCCCCTCATCCTTGGGGAAGCCATTAAACAGTTTCAGGAAAAGATCAAAAGGACCTTAGCAGAGGCCCAGAAAGCTCGCCAACTCCAGCAACACAGTAGGAGGGGAAGCATTATTTTTTAGAAAGGATCTTAATGAAAGCACTTGATTTGAGGGGAATGGGGAAAGTGAAAGGTTCTTGGCCTTCACAGGGTTTGTTTATTAGGGTTTCTGTAGGTTAAAGGCAATACCTGAAGTATGTTTTTAAACAGACCATTTTCTGGAGACTGTCTTCAGAACCGTTGTGATTTCTTTGTAGTAGAGTTCCATTCTCTACATCTGTTCTGTCCCAAAATGTGATCATTCAGAGTTACTAGAATCAGAGGGGCCAAGCAGTCAGCAAGGGAACATGTCCCATGGTGGACTCTTCTTTTCTGCTGTTAGCACGTTTCAACCAAGGCTGAAAGGCAGTGGGGAGGGGCTTCTTCCCTGCACACGCTCAGGAGGCCCTGCTCTGTTTGGAGCAGTTCCAGGTTCGTACCGCATGTGATATGGATGAGTCCCCCTGGTTCTGTTAGGACTCACCTGTGGTCAGTGCAGCAGCCAGGCTGAAGGATGGATTTGCGCTGGTCAGCAAGAAAACTCACATTTGACTTTCGACTGAAGGAGAAATCTATGTCCAAAGCCTAAGTATAATTTGAGTGCAGATAAATATGTTTAATTTCAATACAGCTTTAAATTTGAAGAACCATTTCTTTTTCTTTTTTTTTAAGAGAGAAGTAAATATAGATTGGGACTTCCCAGGTGGCTCAGTGGTAAACAATCCACCTGCCAATGTAGGAGACCTGGGTTTGATCAGGAAGATCCCCTGGAGGAGGAAATGGCAACCTCTTCAATATTCTTGCTGGAAAATTCCATGGACAGAGCAGCCTGGCGGGCTACAGTCCCTGGGGTCACAGAGTCAGACATGACTGAGCACGCGCGCGTGCGCACACACACACACAGACAGATATAGATCTCACTTTTATCATCTCTGCCTGTCATCTAAGGGTGAGAGAGATGGTGAGGACAGAGGCTCCCCATGTTCGTACCCTGATGATGAAGTATGTTATGCTCTGTTTTGAATGGTGGAACACAGGAGGCAGTTTAAGCATTGTAAATGGAAAACTGTCGTGCAGGTATTACTAATGATTTTACCCGCTGTTCTTTTGTTTTGTTTTAGGTGAGAAACCTTTTGAATGTAACATTTGTGGGAAACACTTCTCTCAGGTGGGAATACTTTTATTTATTGTTAATAATCAGAAACCTGAAACCCAGTGTTTATTTTTATTACAGATGAGACATAATTTTGGGACTTGTGAGAGCAGACTCTGATGTTATCTGTAACTTAAAAGACTTCATACTAAATCAGGAGAAAATAATTTTCAAGAAAAAAAACTTCTAGCTCATTGTGAGGGGTACCATTTTTTAGAAGCATAACTGTGAACTCTCACAATAACTTTTCCCTCATTAAGGATGGGTCTAATTCTAGTATAGTTCTTCTCTTCCTGTGCATGATAAAAACCATATTGAGCACCACTTGAGGGCTGGGGGATTCCTAGCTGGCTCAGTGGTAAAGAATCCACCTGCAGTATGGGAGACATGGGTTTGATTCTTGGGTGGGTAAGATCCCCTGGAGAAGGAAATGGCAACCCACTCCAGTATTCTTGCCTGGAGAATCCCGTGGACAGAGGAGCCTGACGAGATACAATCCATGGACTCACAAAGAGTCTGAACAACTGAACACACCCGTCAGTTTATGCCAGGCTGGACCCAAGACAGACGCCTTCTTACTCTCACTGGGGTTGTAGATGTTAGGACGTTGGAGAAGAGACCACACGCTTTGCGTTCCCCACCCTTGCACACCTCCTCTCACTCGGCCGGTGTGTGTCATCTCCTCCTGTGGGCTCTGTACTGATCTTGGCACCAGACATAGCAAAGGTTTCAGAGGAAACTCTGAACACAGGAGAATGGCTGTGGGAAGCCGCTTATCCTTCTGCAGCAAAAGCTAGCTATTCCCAGAAGCTGCTCGCAAGGCCCAGTGCCCTGAGGAAACAGTTCACAACTGTTTCTACACACGCATGATAATCCTGGAGTAAGAGCATGTCCAGATGCTCCTTGACTGGGGAAGGACCTTGGAGCTGGGCCTCGATGGAGGAGCTGAAGCTCCCGCACACCCAGACCTGCCATCCGGCTGCTTTTCACTCTGCCTGCTGGCTGTGAGCAGTGATTCACCATGTCCCAGTGGGGTCCTTGGCGTTACCAGTCCAGGCAGGACTGCGCACCCCCGCTAAGTGTTCAGTAAGCCTCTGCGGAGCTGAGTGGAGGGATTGCTGGTCTGCCTGCTGTGCCCTCGAGCTGAGGCCTGTGCTGCTCCCTGCCAGCCTTCCCTGGAGGTCAGAGCTTGGCCTCTGGAGCCAGACAGTCTAGATTTGAATCCAGCCTCTGGTTTTCTGCTTTGGCCTCGGACAAGCTATGTGTTTGGCACTTTGGCTTCCTTATCTGTAAAGCAAGGGTGTGGGACCACTGACCCCCGTGGTATGTGAGGAGTAAATGAGTTTATAAGATGGTCAGCTTCCCAGGTGGCTCAATAGTAAAGAATCTGCCTGCAAATGCAGGAGAAGAAGGTCTGATCCCTGGGTTGGGAAGATCCCCTGGAGAAGGACATGGCAACCCACTCCAGTATTCTTGCCTGGGAAATCCCATGGACAGAGGAGCCTGGTGGGCTGCAGTCCTTGGGGTCACGAAGAGTCAGACACCGCTGAGCCACTGAAGATGTCCAGCGTCACGCCTGGCCCATGGTGAGTCCTCAGGACACATCAGTAGTCCCTCTCCTGTGGCCACTGCCTCTCATCTGTCTGTCCTCTCTGCTGTTGTAGACCAGTCTTCCGAAGGCAGGCACCCCCTACTCCACCCCCACCACTTTAATCTTTCCAGCTTTGGTATAATGGGAAAGCGTAAAAACTGGATTAATGACCATTAATAGTTAGCAATCACAACTTCTCTGGGTCTCATTTTTCTAATTCTTAGAATAGAGATAATACCACCTCATGGGATATTAGGAGGATTAAATGAAAAAAAAAATGGATGTGAAAGTCCTTTAGACATTTACACTGTGATAACAGTTTAGGTTCTATCCTTTTCTTGTTCAGAATCCCGTGGGTTTTCACTGTTAGCCAAATAGAGTGAAACCAGACATTCAGGCATTGAGCCTGCCTTCAGCCTTCTCTCCTGGAGTTAATGCCGGGGCTCACCCTCAGAGATTCTGGCGCTGCTGGTTGGGGCTGGGGCTTCAGTGTTGGTGCGTTTGAGCACCCTGTCCTCTGCTTCAGACCCTGACTGCACGTTCGCTCTCGAGTCCCACCAAGGGCAGCCGTGTCTGACAGACGCTACAGAAATCCTCCTCTTCTATGTTGGTGTCTGTGTTTTTATCAGATTTTTATAAAGAGTTTTTTTTAATGAACATAACCATATATTTATGGTTTTCAGATGTATATTGCTGTTTTACTTCCTAATGTAATGATGAAGTTTTTGTGAATAAGAACTCTTTCAACAAGTATTTATTACAAACCTACAATGTCTGAGGAGCTCTGCCTGTTCTGGGGCACAAAGATGAATAAGGCTTCAAGGAGCTTTGTGTTTAGAGGAAGAGACAGGTGCATAAAGTGATAAAGCACGATGAAACAGCGGAAGTTCCATGTCACTTGTACAGGGAACAGTATGGGCGAAGAGGGCAGTGGTCATTCTAACCTGAAAGTTGTGATGTTTGGTGGGTGAGGTCATGGGATGTGTCCCGTGCCTGGGGCAGGGCCCTGAAGATGGGAGGCTTTGATGGGCCTGAGGCTCTGGTGTTCCAGGCGGAGGGAGCAGTGGTGGTGTTTACACTTTACCTGTCCTTCATTTATCATATGAACTGGAATACATGTGGTTACAGTGGACTGGAAATACCTTCCCTTGAGGAAGATTCAACAATCAGAAAGCAGACCTACCAATAAGAATTAACTTTTTAACTCATTGTAGTATTTAATAGGGTTGGTTAGTCTTTAAAAAAAAAAATTAGCCACAACCTTAATAATGAGTCAGCAAACAGTTGACCTCAGCTTTGGAAAAGCTGTGATAAGCCTAGATTGTGACAGCAGGCTCTGCGTGTATTAATGGAATTCCGGACATGGCCCTTGCCCGGATGACAGCAAGTGAGAGTCGTGCAGGACTTGACACTATGCGTGAGGCCCCATTTGGAGCCACGTGTCTCCCATGTGCAGGAGAACCCAGGCCGTTCAGTGCAAACAGAGGAGAAATCTAAGACCGTGACAGGTCGGGACCACCTGCCACAAGAGAAACAGGCAGAGGGAACCCTGGTGTACTCAGCTGTCTTGGGGGAGAGGAGTGGAGCTCCCTCGCCTCTCCAGTGAAGCAGAATAGAGAACCTGAGCAGCTGCTGCAGGAGGGTGGGTTCTGAGAGGCTCGGTGCCCTCCCCACCTCCTGTGTCCAGGCTGTGATTGACAGGGCGCTGCATCCCGTAGGAGGCTGCTTAGACATGTTCCAGGGCGCTGATGCGGCCCCATGCCAGAGGTGGCCAAGCTGCATCCTATCCATGGTGAATATGCCAGAAATAATTTTTCAAATGAACCTAAGCTATTAAATCTTCAACTCTGAGGTGGTATTTCCATACTTTTGATGTTAAAATCCTTTTATCAATGGAGTAATCATTGTTCCTTAGGTGATATCTTTATGTTAATCTCCAGATTTTTTCTGTTTTAAAGTCTTAAAACTTCTCAACTAGATGACTTTTAAGATCTGAGTTCTCTTTTGTGTCTAAAGTTTCACAGTTCCCTATTTTGTACAGAAACAGTCGTCTACCACTAGAAGAGTACTCTGCCAGAGAACATGTGCTTGATTTGATCATGGTTAAATACTGAGGTTCAGGTACCTATTAGAAGGAGTTTATTTTTTAAATTACTCAACAAACGAGGCATTAACTTCTCTTCTACAGCAGAGTTTTTCAGTTCTGACAACTCCATCATAAACTAAAGTGGTGTCCACTTAGAAAGGGTAGAATTTCCTTTTCTGCTAATATTTTTCAGCCCAACAGCAGCACAAGCTTTTTGAGTGCACAGACAAAGTCGAATTGGGGAGTGTTCCATCCCAGATGGAGGGGCCACGGCTGCCCTCCTCCCAGGGCCTCTGTTTACCTCCTGGAGCGGGTGAATTACACTTTGTGAGGACTCTCTGAAAGCCAGTTTGTAACTGGTGAGCAAAGTGTTCCACTGTTAGCAAACCCTTAACAAAGGAGACCTACTGGTATTTACCACTTGCTGGAATTTTCATGCATCCAACAGTATGTAGATAATTTCTAAGATATAGTCTGTGTACTTAAGATATAATTAGCAACCTGGCGGCTCAGTGGTAAAGAATCCTGCAATGCAGGAGCCTAGGGTTTGATCCCTGAGTCAGGAAGATCCCCTGGAGGCGGGCATGGCAACCCACTCCAGTATTCTTGCCTGGAGAATCCCATGGACAGAGGAGCCTGGCAGGCTACAGTTCATAGGATCACAAAGAATCAGACACGACTGAAGTGACTTAGCATGCAAGCACACAGAGCATAGCAAAATTTACCAAAAATAAAGACTCTTGACTAAAGGGCAGATAATCTGGGCCGCAGTTTGCTATGTAATTTGGTATACATTTTCTGAATGCATGATTAAATTTTTTTGCCTGAATCTTTCCATTAGTTAATCTACTTTTATGCCATTTATCAGATTAATATATGCTCCTTTATCTAGGAGAATGATAATTATTTTCATGATACATTTTCAGTATTAAATAGCTAAGAAAACATCTTAAAGTTTGTTTTACTGTTGTTTACTGTAATATTTAGGTTTCCCTCATAGCTCAGTTAGTAAAGAATCTGCCTGCAATGCAGGAGACCTAGGTTCAATTCCTGGGTTGGGAAGATCCCTTGGAGAAGGAAATGGCAACCCACTCCAGTGTTCTTGTCTGGAGAATCCCATGGACAGATGAGCCCGTTAGGCTATAGTCCATAGGGTCACAAGAGTCAGACACAACTTAGTGACTAAACCACCACCACTGTAATATTAAGTGAAAGACCATTTCAGTTATATTTGCTTTGAAAACAAGTAATTGTTAAGCTGTATTTAAAAAGGAAAGATGCACAATTGCTAAGAATTGAATCCCAATGCATTTCAACCATAATACATGGTTTGTATAAGAACTTGAACGAAGGATCTAATTAAACCATGGAACAGATGGTGCCATACAAGTTGTTATTTAAATGACCAGCTTTTCTGAAATTTGGAAGTGACTGATTTAAAATGTGTGTTATCTTAAATCCAGTGAGCCGTTTCCTGGATAGCAGAGTCACTGTCATACTGAGAATTCAGCACAAGCTAGCTTATTCACAGAAGCTTGCAGGCCGTCATGGAAGACAAGAGTTTAAGCTCAGCTCAACCAACATTAATTTCTGACCTACTGTGTAACCGGAGCAACTAATTTATTTATCTGAATCTCAATTGTACACCTAGAAAACAGAAACAATAATACCAATTTCTAAGGGTAATTTGGTTATGTGTGAGTAGACCAAATGTCTATTGCTGTTGACATTTGCTGTTTTATTATTGTTATGAATAGTCATTCAGTTAAAAGCTAGGTATTTCCCATTGTTTTGCCAAATACTTTGGTTACCTAAAATAAACCAGCTTTTTTTCCTTAAGCCATATTTATCATATTTTGAAATATAGTATCTAACTCAGTGTTTTCAGAGTCTGATAGACATAAAGAATCTTCCGTGTTACATAGCATAAAATCCACAGTTTTCTTTATACTTTCAATCCTACAACCATGAACTATCTTTGAGTTTCATCTAAAATATAGTTTGCAAATTCACAAAGCCAGCCACTTGTGCCTTCTGAGGTGGCCCACAGTGTCTGTGTTTCTCTCTAAATAAATCCACTTCTTACCTATCCAAAAAAAAATTACAAGCCAAATTTAGGAGTTGGGGATTATTGTTCATTCTCTTTTTTTGGCTTATTTTGTACGTAAGGCCTGCATATTATTACCTTGGATATTTTCATCCTCAGTGTTTTTCATGGCAGAACACTATAAAAAATTAAGTCGGGAAGTGACAGATTGAGACCGTTAATATAAATTACAGCAATGGAAGATTGTGTTTTCCAGTCCTAACTTGAAACATTTGCCAGTAGCTTTTGTAATGTCAGGCATTTGCAGGTTTAATTTCACTGTACTTTAGGCAATTCAGTGTTGATTTCCTGTTGATTAGCACATGGAAATCTATTTTGTGATCTCCATTTAAGTCAGCTACTCTTCGTAAAGCCCTGCTGTTTCAGAGATTAGAAACACAGAAGGCCTGCAGCTGAAGGGCCACCGTGAATCTCCTGATTCGCTCTTTTTGCACAGAAGTAAAAATGACCAACCTGTCAGTAAGAGCAACTGTACCACCAGAGGAAATACTTTTTAGAAATGTCTTACCTTCCTTATGAACAAAAGCATGTTTTTTAAGAAAAAGCAGTGCATACTGAAATGACCAAGTACAAGTGCTACCTTTTTTCAAATGATGTTTGCATGTAGGTGGTCAAGGTTAAAAAAAATAGGAAATATGATACATCAACAGCTGTTCAAAATACAAGCTTAGCAACCCTAAAAGAAGCCCCCACAGAATGTCGGCCCATTTTACAGGGATATGGTGGCCTGTACCCCTGATGAGGGACGGGCCAGGGGCTGGCATGGAGCTGAGCTGAAATCAGTTGCCCCCTGTTCAGTTGCCAGGCAAGGGCCGCTCCCAAGTCAGAACCCAGGCTGGGCCTCCGTCTCCTTGCTGCTTCTGAGTCTTGCATCTGGGATCTTCACTGGGAAGTTGGACTGGAACCTGGCTAAATCTGTCAGTGTCCCTTTTGAATGTATGTGCCCTTAAAAAAGTTTTTTTTCCATTATTGGCATATTTTTTCTTTTCCTTTTCCGCAGGCGGGTAACTTGCAGACTCACTTACGTCGGCATTCTGGGGAGAAGCCGTACATCTGCGAGATCTGCGGGAAGAGGTCAGTGCAAGGCTCATTCACCCGCCCAAGAGGAGCTGTCTCGGCATCCCCGAGCCTCGCAGGAGCTGAGGTCACCCAGGAACCAGCAGAGCTGAACCCGCTGGCCTTTAATGTGACCCACATGAGAACAGAAAAAAGAGATGGAAATGTTAATCAAAGGAGAATCTAGGACACAATTGTAGGAAATGGGATTTTACAGGAAACAATTACGCTAAAATTTCCATTCATTCCAGAAATGTCTATTAAAAGATGACTGGCCCCATAGAGGTGACCGTCTGGTAGGGAAGTGAAACTCGGCAGCCTGAATGCCTGGAATCAGGAGGGGGCTGCTGTGGGCACACCAGCCCCGCTCGCAGACCCGTGAAAAGGCTGAGAGTGCAGCTACAGGAAGGACGGGCGAGCCTCAGGGCCAGGGAGGCTGTGGACTCGGGAGACCACGGTCTCCCTCAGGAGGTGGAGGTGCCCCCTCCTGTGGGCATGCCGGCCTGCAGCCTGCTCCCCCTGCCCCTCGGGGGCGTTTGTGGGGTTCCACTCCCTCTGTTATCTCGTGGGTGGTCGTTCTAGGACAGGAGGCAGCAGCCAGGCCGCTATTGGTCATTCGTGTTTTCTTCATTCATTTAACCATTCAGCCTTTCAGCATTTATTAGGCACCTACTGTGTGCTAAGTGCTGTGACGGGAACACTGACACTCTCTGCCTCTGATACGTTCGCATTCAGGAGTCAGGGGTGGGTGGGGTGCAGGGGATGACATGGGGCAGTTATAGTCACAGTCTTCTGCTGGGATGGGGCAGCACCCTTGATTCAATTCCAGAAAAAGCAGTTGTCTCTGCAAATGGTAGAAAACAGAGAAGTAAAGGCTTCCTGGCCTGATAGTGTCTCTGCCAGCTGCCCGAACACTGAAGGCCAGGTTTAGTGCCCAGGTCCCGTGTCCTGCCTGCCTGGGGTGCCTTGTAGCACAGGCCGTCTGCTGTTTCGCTGGGGCAGGGCGGGGCGGGGGGGTCCTTGAAAGTCTTGTTTCTCAGGGTGTTTTCAGTGTGAGCCTTCTGAACTCCCGTTTAGAAGTGAAGTGTGCATTTATAGTCTAACCAGATGCATGGTCCTGCGGTCAAGTGAGGCGGGACAGAGAGGCACTGAGCTCCACGCTGGGGCTTGGGTTGGGCTGGGATTGCCCCCCCCCGCCCCCGCAGCCGCCACCGCCAGCCCACCTAGCGATCACCTCCGAGGAAGAAAGGTTAACGCAAGTAGGTAGGGAAAAAGTGTTTTAGAAGTGAAACACCAGGATCATTCTCTACTCTTCCTTTAAAAAGAGGAGGAAAAAAGATGTTCTTTTCTAATGAACATCTCAAATGAAATCAGGCCATTCCTGGTCACATTCTGAGGGAGCAGCTCGTCTCCTCCAGGTGACTTGGAGTTAGAAAGGTCTGCAGTGACGCAGGCAAGCTCTTAATTGACTTTCCAAATTGCATTTGCAGGTTTGCAGCCTCGGGAGATGTCCAGCGTCACATTATCATCCACTCAGGAGAAAAGCCACACTTGTGTGACATCTGTGGTCGAGGTATGGCCGAGCGTCTCCCTTCTGTTCCGTGAAGATCTCTGATTAAAATGAGACAAGTGCTCGGGCCTGGTGCACTGGGAAGACCCAGAGGGATTGGGTGGAGAGGGAGGTGGGAGGGGGGACCGGGATGGGGAATATATGTAAAAAAAAAAAAGATACACTATGGTTGTGATAAAAAATAAATAAATAAATAAATAAATAAGAAGAAAAAAAAAAATGTCTCTCCGTCCATCAGCCTAACCCCGGTGTGTGGTCTCCTCTCTAGGGTTCAGTAACTTCAGTAATTTGAAGGAGCACAAAAAGACGCACACGGCTGACAAAGTCTTCACCTGCGATGAGTGTGGGAAGTCTTTCAACATGCAGAGGAAGTTGGTAAAGCACAGAATCCGGCACACGGGTGAGCGGCCTTACAGCTGCTCAGCTTGTGGTAAGTTTCCGCCAGCCGCAGACCCCGTGCTCACCTGCTCCTCCCCACGGGGAGGGTTCCGGGCTCTGCCCACATGCCGTCCTGGTCATTAGCGGGGCTCAGATAGGTCACCCCTCTTCTCATGGATAACACGGAAGTGATTGCTGTTTCTTGACCACCTTGGTCTTCTCTGATTGATCTGTGTTCGTGTGGCATTTACCCGAGCTTTCGGCAACTGCCCTAGATACCAAGGTGACTGGTGACAGAGGCCCCGGTGCCACAGGGCGTTGGCAGCGGGAAAAGCGGGCGAGAGCGTGCGGTGTGGCTGCAGGGCCGGGGCACAGCTGCCTGCGGGGCAGCGGGGGCACACGGTGGGCTCAGGAGGGGGCTTCTGGAGACCGTGTCACATGTCACAAAGCAAAGTCACCTCTGCGGCATCCGGTGCATCAGTGACGTCATCAGGAGGGAAAGCGGAGGCCCGCGGTGCTCGGTTTCCAGGCACGTCACTGCACAGGCGAGGGAACTGGGGCTTCGAGTTAAGTACCCGTGATCACAGAGTGTCGGAGCTTCTGAAGAACTGGGGGAGGGCGTGTGTGTGTGTGTGTGTGTGTGTGCGCGCGTGCGCGTGTGTACACATGAGCCACTGACAATGTGGACTGAATGAGTGAGTAACCATTTTTATGTCTACCTGGTTAGAACAAAGAGGAAAACTGCTCAGAGTCAGGCCATGGGGAGCCTGGAACTGGGGCATCCTCGGAGCGGTTCTGTTCTCGTGGTTGGTCCCTAAAATAGGGCAGGACGTGCGGGATGTGGCCAGAGGCAGCTTCCTTCATGTCTCCCACGTAAGCTGGGTCAGATCCCCCGGACACCAGCATCTGCAGCTCCGTGACTTGTCCGCTCCCTCCTAGAGGATAAAATTGCATCATTTTCGATCACAGTTGCAGTCTCAAATCCCTAGTGTAGGATGTCAGTTCTACATTACTATTCCGACTGTGAACTTGACCTCAGTTCACTGTTCCCTTCCTTCCAGCCAGGACCTGCTGCCCCCTGTGACCCGCCCCAGTAGAGGAGGCAGTGCGGCGGGCCCCTGTCTCCCCCATCCTTATTTCCACCCCTCCCCGCTACTCACTGACCGAGGTTTCTGACCCAGACGAGGTCAGCGCTCGGGGAGAGCAGGGAGAGGAAGGGAGCGAGCATGATTCTGTGTGGTAGGTTCGAATCTTTATTAACACTTGCTGAGTTAAGTCCTATCTATAAAACCCACCCGTTGGGAGCGAGCAAGTCATCAGTTGGGGTGCATTCAGTGTTGTGCTGCCCTCACCACAGTCTTAGAACATTTTCACCACCCCAAAAAGAAACCCCATGCCCATGAGCAGTCACTCCCCAACCCCTCCCTCGGAAAGCCTTAATCTACTCTCGGTCCCTAGATATGCCTGTTCCAAACAGTTCATAGAGACAGCATCCTGTAATGTGTGGCCTAACTGACTTCATTTCACTTAGCAAGTCTGCTGTGAACATTCACATGCAAGTGTATATGTGGGTGTATGTTTTCATTTTCTTGGATTCAAAAGACAGTTTCCATTTAATGGTGGCTTCACAGTCTGAGCTTTGCTGACTTGAAAGCCTGGCCCTCTCTGCCTCTTCTTCCCTCCCTCATCCTCCCCCTCCCCCTCCCTCCAGCATTTCACCTTCTTCCTAAGCCTCCCCTTCCACCCTGTTCTCCTGCCCCAGCACTTAGCTGCACTTTCCAGGATGGAAAGGTGCATTTTCTTCTGGCCGGACTTTCTTCTTTAGCCCTCGGTTTTGTAGCCATTCATTCCGAGAAGACTTCCCCTGTTGGGGTCCCATCACCCCTCTGTGCAGTCCTCTTAGGTTCCAAGGCTGGCTCCCTTGCAAGCATGACCCTCGTCTGATCTGTGGAAACACTCACGTTCTGTGCTCTGGGGTCTGCAGGCCCACACAGGTGCAGGGGTGACCGTTTGCTCTCTCTCTGTCGGCCGCCCATACAGTAAGCGAGCTGTCTCCATTTTCCCCGTGCCGGAGGCAGGTGCAGCTCCACTGTGACCTCCCAGGGACCCACATCAAGCTCCTGTCTTGACTTGAGGTACAAAGGAGATACTCCTCCTCCCGTTTCCCCTCTCTGGGGAGCTCTCCTGTGGCTGAACTTTATATCCATTGACACCTTTTGCCACATAATGTCCACTACTGGGAATTTATCTTAAGGAAACAAGGGAAAGAATGATGTGCGCTGACCCTCAGGTATGGTAGCAAACAGATGGAAGCAGTCCAAACAGCCCACCATTGCTTGACCAGGGCTGGATAACTGAGAATTCAAATACAGGGACGTAGGATTAAGTGAGAAGTTCTAAAAGGCGTGTCCACGTAAATCATGTCGTTTGTTTCAGTTCAGTTCAGTTCAGTTGCTCAGTTGTGTCTGACTCTTTGCGACCCCATGGACTGCAGCACACCAGGCCTCCCTGTCCATCACCAACTCCTGGAGTTTACTCAAACTCATGTCCATTGAGTCAGTGATGCCATCCAACCATCTCATTCTCTGTCATCCCCTTCTCCTCCTACCTTCAGTCTTTCCCAGCATCAGGGTCTTTTCCAGTGAGTCAGTTCTTTGCATCAGTCCTTCCAATGAACACTCAGGACTGATCACCTTTAGGACAGACTGGTTGGATCTCTTTGCAGTCCAAGGGACTCTCAAGAGTCTTTTCCAACACCACAGTTCAAAAGCATCAATTCTTTGGTGTTCAGCTTTCTTGATAGTCCAACTCTCACATCCATACGTGACTACTGGAAAAACCATAGCTATGACTAGACGGACCTTTGTTGGCAAAGTAATGTCTTTGCTTTTTAATAAGCTGTCTAGGTTGATCATAACTTTTCTTCCAAGGAGCAGGTGTCTTTTCAAACAAAGCATAGTTTCAGTCCTTTGTAAATGGCTTCTATAAGGTTATGTATTGCTTTTTCTCTTCTGGTGTTCTGACCTCATGGTGGGCCTTAGGTCACCTACCTCTAGCTTATACCTAGAGAAAGGAAATAGGACCTGGAGAAGGAGCTTAAAATTATGTTAGAAATTGAGTGTATAAGTAACTTTAGAAAAGATGCCTCTAAAGTAGAGATTGGCTGTGTTCAATTTGGGGATATCTGAGTAGCGCTGATGCGGTTTCCCAGCGTGGGCTGTCGGGCAGGCACCCAGGCCCCCAGGCCCCCAGGGGACGCTCCTGGGCAGGGAGACGTGGCTGTGGAGACCGAGGCTGCAGGTTGGGGGGCTGCAGTGGAGGGGCATGGAAGGGTCTGGAACCGGCGTGAGTGGGTGACAGCAGGACTCGGCCGAGTTCACAGGAAAGCGGGGTCGTTTGGCACTTGGGGCGGCGGGGACACCCTCCTGAACGTCCTCCTCTGAAGAGCGCCCTGTCTGTCCCTGCAGGGAAGTGTTTCGGAGGGTCGGGCGACCTCCGCAGGCACGTGCGCACGCACACCGGGGAGAAGCCGTACACGTGCGACGTGTGTAACAAGTGCTTCACCCGCTCGGCCGTGCTGCGGCGGCATAAGAAGACGCACTGCCGGGCTGGCGACGAGGGGCCAGACGCCCTGGAGGCGCTCGCGCGGGCCATCGAGGCCCCAGACCTGGAGCGGTCCCAGAGCTCGGACTCCTTCTCCCAGGACTTGTCCGTGCCTCTGATGCCCGCCGTGACCGTCAAAATCCCCGCGCACCCGGCAGACGAGGACACGGTGGCGGAGTTTGACAGCCCCTGTAAGTTCCGGCCGGTGGCTCAGCCCCCGCACGGGCCGAGCGAGCCCGAGAAGCTCAGCCTGGAGCCAGTGAAGCTGGCCAAGCCCCCGCACGTGCCGCCGGCGCAGCACCAGGCCTACGGCTACCCGGACGTGGACGCCCCGGCCAGCGCCGAGCCGCTGCAGGCCGACGGCGTGGCTGCCCTGCGCTCGTCCCTGGCGGCCCTGGACCATACCCCCTGCTCCGACCCTCTGGGCAGCCGCGCCGCCGCCCCCGCCTACAGGAACTCAGAGGGCCAGTTCTTCTCCAGCATGACCCTCTGGGGACTGGCGATGAAGACGCTGCAGAACGAAAGCGAGCTAGACCAGTGAGGCCCCCCGCTGGGTCTCACTCAGCGTCGGGGGCCGGGCTTCAGGGCGGGACACCTTCTGACCGGCTCTAGACAGAGCCCGACCCTGACCTGGTGGGGCTGAGCATCCCAGCACCTTGAGCTCAGCGTGCGTGAGAAAGCCTCCTGGCCCCTCCGGGAGGTGCACGTGGACGGAACAAATCTCACGAACCGGGTGGTATGAACTGTGGGGAACTCCTGCCCATTTTCGTCATGGTAAAGGGAAAATACACACCTATAATAATCCAGATATTATTTTTGCATTTTTACATGGTGAAATTTGTAGCATTTTGTATTTTTATTTACAAAAAGATTTTATTTGTATAGGGAACTCATACAATAATTTAATTTGAATAAACGGAAGTTGCCTTTCTGCATAATATTGTGTTTCCTTCAACATTCTTACTAACCTAACGACCGCGTGGTGGTGGTGGTGGTTTAGCTGCCAAGTCCCATCTGACTCTTGTGGACCCATGGACTCTAGGCCTCCAGGTGAGGGTACTGGAGCGGGTCACCATTTCCTTCTCCAGGGGATCTTCCCCACCCAGGGATCGAGCCCAGGTCTCCTGCTCTGCGGTGGATTCTTCACTGACTGAGCTACCAGGGGAGCCCTAACCTAGAGACCATGGTGGTAAGAAATAAACATCAGGACGTCCCTGGTGGGCCAGTGGTTAAGACTCCACCTGGCAGGCAGGGGACGTGGACTCGATCCCTGGTCTGGGAGGATCCCACATGCAACTGAGCCCTCACGCCACAACTGCTGAAGCCCGTGCACCTAGAGCCTATGCTCTGCAACAAGAGAAGCCACTGCAATGAGAGGCCCACACACCGCAACTGGAGAACGCCCGTGTGCAGCAACAAAGACCCAGCACAACCAAAAATAATAAAAAGCATCCAGGAGGGTTCACCCTGAAGATGAATACCAGCTTCAGTTCTGTCATCCTGGACAGTGGCTTCGGCAACCCGCAGATCAGAGTCTGGGTCCGGGCTGCCACATCCCTGTCAGGTCGTGGGCAAGCTCCTCAACCTCCCAGAACCTTGTGTGGGTTCACTTTTCTGTAGTGCAAGGTGAATAGCTTTCAGTAGTCTTACAGTGCTCAAATGATCTCATCCACTTGAAAACACCTGCCCAGGGAAGGGGGCGTGCCTGTCTGTGAACTTGAAACTTGACCCCTGGTGCGACGGTGCAAGCACACTCAGTTATGTCTGACTCTTTGCAACCCCACGGTCTGCAGTCTGCCAGGCTCCTCTGTCCATGGGGATTCTCTAGGCAAGAATACTGGAGTGGGTTGCCATGCCCTCCTGCAGGGCATTCTTCCCAACCCAGGGATCGACCCCCATCTCCTGTGTCTCCTGTATGGCAAGCGGATTCTTTATCACCGAGCCATCAGGGAGGCCCTAGTCACATATGGGTGGCCATCTCCCTGGGCCTCCTCGCTTGTTCCCTTTCTCATCCTCACCACCTCTTTCCAGCTTCCCTCTAGTATGCCGGCCCCAGCAGCCCTTCATGCCCACCAGGACCTGCAGCCCGTTGGTCAGCTCCGCACCCCTCGTGTCCCTGTCCACCTCCTTCCCAGGCTGTACCCCGGGGGCTGACATGCTCTGATCCGCCCTCCAGCCTCTCTTGTCAAGCTTCCCTGCTGAGCCCTGCCCTCTGCTCCTGCACATGGGGCACTGAGCCTGGCTGGCAGGAATCAGCCACCCTCCGGTTTCTAACACAACTCGCTCCTGGTGAGGTCGGGGTCCATTTGACCTCCTTCCTTGGTGATGGAGGCCCTGTGCTGTCCTGGACGACTTTTCCTCCGTCTTCATGGTGCTCTCCAGCCTCTGTCCCTCCCTGCCCCATCCTCAAGGCCCAAAGAATAAGATTTGCCTAGGCCAAGGTAGAGCTTCCCTGGTGTCTCAGCGGGTATAGAATCCACCTGCAATGCAGGAGACCCGGGTTCAGTCCCTGGGTCGGGAAGATCCCCTGCAGAAGGGAATGGCAACCCACTCCAGTATTCTTGCCTGGGGAATCCCATGGACCGAGGAACCTGGCGAGCTACAGTCCATGGGGTCTCAGAGTCGGAGGCGACTGAGGCCAAGGTAACCATCCTTGAATAAATCTGCATGACTGGGACAATAATTTGACCCAAATAAAAGTTTAGGGAAAAAATGAAAACCAAATCTTTAAAATTCATACTTCCTGCCTCTTTCTTTGTCCCCTTATTACTCTGCCCCAAAGTCTTAACCTAAATAAGGAAAAACTTAGGAGTGGTGAAATTTTTGGAAGTGTGCTAGCGTGTCCTTGAATGGGAGATTATGTTGCAGTGCGCCAGGCCTTGACTTTGTGGTGCACACATAACATGGTCATCCACAGCACGAACAAATGCCTCTGTGTGTGTGTGTGTGTGTGTGTGTGTGTACATGTGCACATGCATATCACTGGCCCCAGAGTCAGGAGACCTGGACTATGTGTGTGTGTGTGTGTGTGTGTGTGTACATGTGCACATGCATATCACTGGCCCCAGAGTCAGGAGACCTGGACTATGTTCTCAGCTCCATCACCAACGTGTGACAAATGCCCTCCCTTCTCTGGACTTCAGTATCCTGACAACGGGATGAGGTCTTCACGGTTCTGTTGCTCTGTGAACACTCTAGATGGCTCATGACTAGGCTCCTGTAGATCCTTCCAGGGCCAAGAACAGCCTCTCATTACAAAGTTGGAGTGCAGAGGCCAAGAGATTGGACAGGTCTTCAGAAGCACCTCAGCCTCTTAGAGCTGGCCGGGACCTTAGGAATCATATCCTGTTTCCATACGGGTCTCTGCGTTCTGTGAGGTCAACAGGAAGTGCTGTTAACAATGCAAATCTTTGTCATTTTGCTGCTATCAAAATCAAATTGACCAAATCTGATTCTTGGTCAGGGCTAAGGCCTAGGAACTGCATTTTAACAAGTTTTCCAGGTGATTCTCAGGCAGGTGGTGTCAGGACAGTAGTTGAAGAGGCTCTGCTCTAGTCTGCATCCCTCATCGGATAGACGCCCTGAGCTGTGAGGCAGTGTGCCCAGGAATAACAGCAGCTTCGGGTTCGTCCTGTGCCAGGGACAATGGAAACGCTTTACCAGCATCAACTCTTTTAAACTCTATGACACCCTGCGAGGAGATCCTGCAATCCTCCCCATCTACAGATGAGGAAAGGGACCCCCTGGAAGGTCAAGGAACTTGCCCGGTTCCACCCAGCCAGGAGGTTGGGTCCCAAGGTTCCAGGCAAGTTACTGACCCCAAACGTAGGATCAGACCCAGCCCAGAATGCAAGGCTCATCTGCCAGGAGGTTGATGGGTTTCCAGAGACCAACCTGCTCCTGAAACAAAACTCACCTCTGCAGGGGTTCATCCCACCCTCTTCTTTTTATTTATTTATTTAAAAAAATTTTTTTCCACCCTCTTCTTTTTAATTTCTTCTTTTTTCTAAGTGAATGAAACAAACATCAGAAAATACAAGAAGTGAAAAGGAAGAGTATTTCCATCACCCAGAGGTGACAGTGATGTCGGTGGTGATGATGACAAATGTGACTCTTGTCCTGATGACAGCTGACACTGCTGGACACCCCAGGCTCTGCTCTGCACTTCACATAGATTTTCTCATTAAGCCCCTTCAACACCCGAGGAGGCTGAGCACTGTTTACCCCTGGATTTGTTTCCTCTGCAATCAGATTCAGTGAAACTTAGACACATTAACATTTTAAAGATCAGTTGGTACTATACACTCTTCTTTTTGCCTTGTAACAAAACAAACTCTCATAAGCATCAGTTCAGTTCAGTTGCTCAGTCGTGTCCAGCTCTTTGCGACCCCATAGACTGCAGCACGCCAGGCCTCCCTGTCCATCACCAACTCCCAGAGCTTGCTCAAACTCATGTCCATCAAGTCGGTGATGCCATCCAACCATCTCATCCTCCGTCATCCCCTTCTCCTGCCTTCAATCTTTCCCAGCACCAACGTCTTTTCCAATGAGTCATAAGCATCATTCCTTGTCAAAAAATGTGTTGACCCCACCACTCTGAGTCCCCATCTCATATTATACCCACCGTGGCTTGAGGCTGTTTGTGAAGGGTCTGGGCAGAAGGCACGTGCTCCACATAAAAAGCTCTCTCTTCCATGTTCAGTTTAGTTCAGTTCAGTTGCTCAGTCGTGTCCGACTCTTTGCGACCGCATGAACCGAAGCATGCCAGGCTTCCCTGTCTATCACCAACTCTCGGATTCTACCCAAACCTGTGTTCATCAAGTCAGTGATGCCATCCAGCCATCTCATCCTCTGTCGTCCCCTTCTTCTCCTGATGCCCGGGAGTCAACTCTTCGCATGAGGTGGCCAAAGTATTGGAGTTTCAGCTTCAACATCAGTCCCTCCAATGAACACTCAGGACTGATCTCCTTTAGGATGGACTGGTTGGATCTCCTTGCAGTCCAAGGGATTCTCACGAGTCTTCTCCAACACCACAGTTCAAAAGCATCAATTCTTCGGCACTCAGCCTTCTTCACTGTCCAACTCTCACATCCATACATGACCACTGGAAAAACCATTGCCTTGACCAGATGGACCTTTGTTGGCAAAGTAATGTCTCTGCTTTTAAATATGCTATCCAGGTTGGTCATAACATTCCTTCCAAGGAGTCTCTTCCATGTAGTTATAAGGAAATCTACAGGCCACCCAGGCTGTATCCTGTCAGGTTTGCTTCTGGCCACCAGATGGTGGTATAGCCCCTCAGAATAAGCTGAGACCGCAGCTGGGGGATCCTCAAACGCCAAGGCTACCCACAGAGACTGCCAGGGCCGCATGCACCCATCTGAGTCCCTGCCCCACCGCCCACCCCACACCACATGGAACCTGTTGGTGACCTAACATTCTCCTTCCCCAGTTTGGAGAGATGTGTCCTAGGAAGGGGAGTCGTTTGCTCATTTATTTGTCAACCTTGCTGAGTGCTGACAACCTCCCCCGACTCCAGGG